TCTCGGCTGACAATCGGTGCCCTTTAGGCAATTACTCGTGGTCTCTTCACCCCAGAACCCTTCTGGTTATATCATAAAAGTGGGATCGTATACTACATGTCCTTTGAGGGTCTCATTGATTTCACCCAGCTAATGCTTGCAGCGCTCATCCACGCTACAGCATTGTCAGAACTTCCCTTCTCTTCAGGGCCGAATAATACTCCGTTGAATGCATGCACAGTTTATCACAGGTTTGTTGTTGGATCTCTGCTTCACTCACTTCAGTAGCAACTTTTTAGCTCATCTCCCACTACTTCTAGTCTCGCTGCCTCCTGCCTACTGGGTGTACTCCTTGATGAATAAGGAACCTTAGAAGTACAGAAACGAGTGTAGAAAGACCCACGATAGGTGCTGTAGTTGGGTTTCACAAGGCTTCCCAGAGGATCTTCTGGGCCAGTTCAGTTCAAAGCAAAGAGGTCAGCTCAGAAGGTTATCGTGACTCTTGGGGGGTACTTCAAAAGGATAGTCTTGAGAGATTTTCCCAAAGGACACAGGACAATCATGGGGGCTTCGTTAGGAGAAAGTTTTCAGAAGATTGAAAGCTGCGTTAGTGAAAACAGGTCCCAGAAAGTTGTGGTGGGGATTTCTTCCCACCACAGTAATAACCTGTTCTTTGAGGTGGCTGAGAATTTCATTGGGAAACTTCACCCCATCCAGCCTACAAGCTCTGATCTAGCGCATTGTTGTAATTAAGTGCCGCCAAGCCGGTTCCGACTCATAGCATCCCTGTATAGGGTTTCCAAGGATCAGCTGGTGGGTTTGAACTGCTGACCTTGTGTATAGCAGTCCAGTGCTTATCCGATAGCATCCCACCAGGATATCTGATCTTGCATACCCAGGCCCCAATTCAAAGAGCATTTCCAAGGAAACGATTTGAGTCCCTGTTAGGAAGGACTTGGTTAAGTGGAGGTTCAGAGCAAATAAGGATGAAATCCGCCCCCTCCCCAGTGAGCTGAACGGACACTATGACAGCACCAGTGGGCTCAGTCGTAACAACAGTTGTCAGGATGGTGCAGGACCAGGCAGTGTTTGTTTTGGTTGTGTACAGGGTCGCTGTGAGTTGGAAACAGCTCAGTGGCACCTAACAACAATAGGATACCCAATTGTCGTGGTGTCTATTGAAGAGCAGGGCCTGGCGTGATGCTGTGGGTTAATGTGCTGGACTGCAAAGTCGGTTTGAACCACAAGGTTGGCAGTTCAAGCTCACCAGTCGCTCTTTGGAAACCCTATACAGGGTCGCTATGGATCGGAACTAGCTCAACAGCACTTAATAACAGCAACATTGACGAGCACAGAATTGAGGGTGGGTGGCAGGGTTAGGGAACTACCAATACAACCTTAAGAAGTGCATAGAAACCATCACTTCACATTTTAAGATTTTAGCTTAATGAAGGTCTGTTCGATCTTGCAGCCGTCCTTTTTGACTGAACCACATTCTTACTGGTCACTGGAATTCCGTTAATAGAAGAGAACCACCATATCCACTAGGTGGTGCCCTTGCTTTCCAGGGTTTTTTGTCCCATCTGGAACCGGTAGAGCCAGAGAGAGATGACACATAAGTATGCTTCAGTGACTTGTGTAAAGTATTATGGCTCACAATTAAATCCAGCAAGAGAAAATTTAATTAATGAGCAGAGTGCTCTGCTTAAGCTGAAATACCTAAAATATTTCAACACTTTATTTTCTGGAATCTTTAAGGATGTTTGTTAGAAGTCTGGTGTTGGAGAGACCCAAAGTGCTGGCTGCCTGTCTTGTGGACAGAGGGTGGGGTGGAGTAGATGGGGAGAGGGGAGATATAATTATATTGCCAATAAGTATTGTTGTAAGTGGTTGTAGATGATAAAGATTTTACTGCAAGCTCTTGGAGTTAAAGGAAAGGGGGAATATACTCAAAACCTCTTTTAAATTCTCAACTCTCAGCCCTGGTTTGGATATAAAGTGATTGGTTGCTGTGTTTCAAAATCCTAACAGAATAACTGTTTAGTGGTTCCAGATGTTTTTGATAAAAACTTGGAATTGTAACATCGGCAAAAGCACAGGACTGCAAATTCTGTCTGCTATTGGGAAGTTCTGAGGAGAAAGCCAAACAGACTCTTTTTTTTCCCCACCCAGAACATTTGTTCTCTCAAAAGGAGCAGAGTATGTCAGGACAATTTCAAATCCTTTAAAAAATATGTTTATGTGTGCAGGAAAAAATAGGAAATCTAGATTTCCAGCCTGTATTGTAAAATGAAAAGATTATATATCTGAAACAATAATCTGGGTTTTTAGAAAATTATAGAGGTTTGAAACAAATTTTATAAACTTTATGACACAGGCTCTAAAAACTATTTACTTTGAAAAGACTCTTCTATCTTTTTCTTTTTCAAAAGGTTTTGTTTGCATCCACTGCAAGGCAGATAATACATCTGTTTAAAAGATACAGATTTCTCTACATTTATTCAGTTCGTAGTTTCATGGGGCTGGGATTGGAAAGGTTCTAATTGACTCAGTAACAGTGAGTTTGGGTGATTAAAAAGAAGATTTTTATGGTGATTAAAACATCTCTGATCCCTAGAGAGTTGCCTGGGAACCTATGAAGTAGGAGACATTTGATTCTAATTAAACCAGAAAGGAGAGGCAGTGAGGGATAAACCATACTGAGGGATAGAGGGGAAGCAACTTCTTGTTCACACAGGGAGAAAGGAGAATTTAAATGATATCTTGGTGAAAGTTGATACACAAGAGATGATAAACTGTTTTTTCTTATATACAGTCAAGCCTAAGGGGGTCCTTCAATCTGTGCCCTTGACCACATTGTTTCAAAGTATTTGCAGAAAGTCTCTGGTCAGTGTAACTCCCACACTTCTGGTAGGCCTGAGTGAATATTTTAGTTACAGCTTTTAATCTCTTTCTGACCATCTCATTTCTCCTGTTTTCTGGCATCATTGCTAATAAAGAACCACCTCTGTTGAAATGTACACGTACCTAACACTGAGGGGCGGGGCTTATGGAGAGCGAGAAGAGTGTCCATCTTTGAGCCACTGCCATGGTGTTGATTCTGACCTTACAGCAGCCCTATACAATGCAAAACTGCTTCCTACGGTTTTCTGAGACTGGTCTGAGCAAGTGGTGATTCATCAAACCTTCTCAACCCCTTTTGTACCATCAGCAAAACTTTTTTCACCAACTTTTGTTTGCAACAGTATTAGCAATTGAGGTATTAAATCTCTTCTCTTCTTGTGATTTGAACCCCCGCATTAACACTCTGCACTTCTGATCTCCTGTCCACTTGAGGCAAATGTCAGTAGCATCCTGCTCTGAAAGGAGAAACATTTTTGTCCTCTACTCTCTTAGTTTCCTCAGTTCCTTCTCCCTCCCACACCATGTATCATCCAAGTGAGAGAATGTCTGAAGTGAGATACTGAATTCTGGAATGGGTCTGCCCCTGAGACTGTTAGACAGGGACCGGACGGACTGGGATAGTACGAAAACAGGCAAACGCAGTAATGGAGTTGGGCGTACATGGCAATGAGTGAATTTGCTGAGTGGTGTACAAGTCCCGGCCAGTCTCCTCTTCTTAGCCACAAAAAGTATTGCTTTTCTTTAAAGACCCGTCACCCTTCCCCTCAAAACAAAACAAAACAAAACAAAAACCCAAAACCAGTTTCACTGTTGGTGATTTTTAAAATCTTGTCCAACACTGCTATAGCCACTCGTGGATCCTTGAGCCCTGAACTACTTGGCTAACATTTTTCTCATATTAAATCATTGCTTTGCATTTGGCAGGCCGATGCTGTGATATGCATTGGTAGTTTCGATTTTCTGTCCTCATGGAACAGAAAAGTCTGTTGTACTTGGTGGTGTTTTGGATGACATCCCCGTTTCTTCATTACCATACTACCCTGACATCAAAGCGCTGGAGTCCCATCTTGCGCCGTGTGACAGAGGCTTTTTCTTAGGGGATGGGAGAAGAAGGAGGGGGAGGAAGCCAGTTGGAAAAGGAAGCCTTGTTTTTCTCATCTTCATCTGTGGATGAATCATGTTCCCACCACTGCAATTAGGTTTTCAAACCTCCAAGGCTGCTGGTGCCAAGCTGAAAGGGCAAGTAGTGACGTTCTTAAGGGAGAGGGAAGAAAGGGGGAGGAGGCTGGGTCGGGAAGGGCTCCCACAGGCAGGAAGGAGGAGGGAGGGGACAGCGCAGGCCTGGTGCTGAGTTCTTTCCTTCCACTCTGCTCTCATTAGATATTTCCATCTTAAATCAAAACCAAGCTCAGCTCCCTGGTGTGCAAGAGACAGGCTCTAAAAACGATTTACTTCAAAAAGAATCTCCTGCTTTCCTTTTTTTTTTCAAAAAAGATTTTCATGCGCCTGTAAAGAAAAAAATTGGTTTTCCTGATCTTCATTTCTTGTATTTATTTTTGAGCAAAACCAGAATTTAATGAGAATTCTTTTGTGTCAATACTTTGAAATAGAGTTGTTGTCATCCCCCCCCCCCCTTTTTTTTTTTTGGTCTTTTTCTCTGTCTCTTTCTGACACCGTGCACATTGGATTTTTACTGCCTCCTTTGGGTTTTTCCCACCTGTGTTGACCATTATGCCTAACCAGTTAATTTTTAATTTTTCTGGAGTTATCGCCAGTGATGGAAACAGCGTGCACCGCTTTCAGTCAAGATTTGCACGGAGTATAGCATCCAGAGGCATTTATTGCTTATATTATGAATTGTAGCTTCAACATCATAGTGCTCTGAAGTTGCCAGAAAGTTCTCAATTCAAGGAGCTGGATTCTACTTGGTTTCTTTTTAATTCTTAACTGACCCTTTGAGGATACTATGTCCAGAGGAGTCTAGAAGACAGAGAACCTCCTCCGCCTCATCTAGGAATTTGGAACTTGGGACTCCATTGGAGCACACTGGTCCCCCAACGTATTAGTGGGTTTATCTCCTCCTGCATTTTGTTTCCTCTCTTCGGCATTTGGACAAAATGTATGAACGGCACAAGAGGCGCTATAGCCTGTGTGACATCTCCAAGGTGGACAGGACTGTGGATGTGGTGTTGCTGAAGGTAAGGGGGCCACACCTCATAAATGCCAAGTCTTTCCTGGTGGTTTGAGCTCCTTGAATCCAGTTCGGCATCCCTGGGTGTATCCCAGGGAGAAAGACTGAGAAGTATGTGTGAATACTGTATGTGTGGGGTTGCTTTTAAGACTCTCTCAAGTTGGGGCATCTGAACAGGAACCATGGGTGTTTGGGAATCAGCTTTGAACCCAAATATATGTTTGTGATTTTTATCCTTTTTTGAAAAAACACACGTGGATCCTTATGATCAGGAGAATATCATAGAGGGGGAAATTCAGTTTCAGAGTTACTTGTTCCTCCTTACTGTGTCTTCTGCCCCTCTGTCTTTGCCCAGCTCCCCTTCTTCCCAACCCCCATCTGTCTCTGTGTCTCTCTCTCTGCCCTGGTTCTCAGTCTGGTTTTTGTCTGAGTCTTCTCTCTGCTGTTCACCTGCTGTCTCTCATTCGTAATTCTCTAGTGAAAAGATAGACAACATGTATTTCTTTTGGAAGGGTCTCCAATCAGTGTAGTTAGTCAAGTGCCAGAGCTGCCCTTTTGGCTTGGTCTGACTGCGTTTTCAGGTCTAGCTTCTGCCTCTGTTGATGGCTATATTTGTTTGTTTTCGCAGTGTTTATGCGGTTGGGTGTCTAAGCAGGATGGGGGCGGAGACTCTGGGTGACTAATTGCTCACGGAAGGGATCCTTGAATCTAAAATTAGTAAGGACGCCTCTAGGCGGTAAATGGAAGTCTGGTACTGTTGGACAACTCAACGAGCACTTTTTGGAAGTGGAGCAATTCTCTGGCAAATACAGAGGAAATCGGAAGCCAACTTATTGTTTCAGAGAGGCCCAAAAGAACTTTAATTTGTAAAAGGGGTACAGTGTTGAGGTGTGGGATGGGAAGAGAGCAGGGCAAAATGGCAGTATGTTGGCTGTGGCCAAGATAATATTGAAACTATTTCATCAATTTATTGATTCAGTTTATTGCTTGAGAGTCCCTAGTTTTGTTTTCTTCTTCTTTATTAGTTAAATGAGGGCTTAGAACCAACCAGTGAAATGTTGGCAGCTGTTGGCTGAGGGAATAGGCAGAAGAGTTGTGATTTGTGGTTGAGCGGTCTTTCCCCCTCTATAATTTCCATCAGGTAGTTGTCTGACTTACCAGACCCAGGCTGGGAGCAGCTGATAACTTGACATCTTGAACTTGTTCCAAGTTCCTACTAATTTTAGTTCCTCTTCAATATGATTTCCTCCTTGAAAACTGATGTTTTATGTGTCCATGTTTTATATATTTAGGAGGGCCTAGTTTTCGGGACCTTTAGTTACTGCTTAAGGGTGACACCCCACATTGTGAAGCATTCCATATTATTCGGGAATCCTGGTAGTGCAGTAGTTAAATGTTTGGCTGCTCACAGAAAGGTTAGCAGTCTGAAGCCACCAGATGCTCTTCGGGAGAAGAGGGTAGCCGCGGGCTCCGTAAAGCCTTTAGCCTTGGAACAGTTTGTTCTGTCTGTCCCGGAGGATCACTGTGAGGTGGAGTCAGCACCATAGCAGCGGGGGTACTAGCTAGACTCCTTATGGTTTCCTTGTGTGGGGAAAAAAGAAGAAAAATTAAAAATGAGAAAATCTTAGTCTGGGTATCACTAGATACCTAGGAATTTTATACATTGAGAGTAACACAAAGGTCTAATAGGTGTCCGTGACAGCTTTCCAAGAGTAGCGTGGATCTTTTAGATGCCGTTTTACCAAAGCACATCCATGTATGTTATTTCATGAGACTTAACTTTGTCAACTACTAGCTTTTCTTTTGGCTTCTTGTCATATGAAGAATTTAAGAGTTCTCTTGCACAGGGTGAGAAGTATGAAGAACCAGAGTCCAAGATCATGATTATCCCCAAGGCCACAGTTTACAAAGAACCGATGTCGATTTTGACATGCGTCTGTGCTTATATCCTTGGAATTGTACCATACTGCTTACATACAATCAAAGATTTTCAGGAAAGAACACTTCACTTCCAGAAAATATATTTATTACAAATAAATAAGCAAACACTAGGAACCTCGAAAGCACTCTTAATTCTGTCTGAAATGAGATGGGGATGTTTGGCGTTAATACCTTTATTTTAGAGATACCAAGGGAGATGGTGTCATTGAGAGCTATACATTGAAAAGAATAAAATTAGTACCCATTCGGTGCCAGGCATGTTGCCAAACCTAGTCTTTATCTTCACCTTGCCAGCAGACAGTTACTAAATAGTGAGACAAGTTAAATACAAAGTGTTACAGGTGGTCTGACATAGACAGGGCCCTGTAAGGGAATAGGGAAAGGACCTATAAACACTGGACTGCTGGTCACAAGATTGATGGTTCAAACTCACCAGCCGCTCTCTGGGAACCCTATACACAGTCACTATGAGTCAGAACTGACTCAAAGGCACTTCCCAGCCATAACAGACATTTTAGGTAGAGCATCTTGGGAAGCTCTTTGTGAGCTATTACAAGGGAAGGTATTCTAGAAGGCATGAGCTTCAGAAGTTCTGAGGTGCTGTAGTAGGAACGAGTTGACAGGGTTGTTAGTCAGGACCGGAGCATTGTGAGCAGACTGGAATGAGGGAGGGTCTAAGAAGAGAGCTGTGGGAGGGGGGACTGAAAAGCCAAGTCCTTCCAGCCATGGTGAGGAATTGGATTTGTTCCGACGTGTTCCTTTTCAACGTATGCTTTAGAAAGAGCTGTCTCAGAGTGTGGAAGTCTGTGTGTCTGTCATTACTACGGTGGGCTTCCAGGCATGTGGAAAATGATTTTGTGGTCCCAAGTGGGGAAACAGTGGCAGAACAGGAGATAACTGGCATTTAAATTTTACATTCTAGTATTTGCCTCATTTTACAGGTGGACAAATAGATTTGGATATTCCGTAACTTTCCTAAGGTCTCACCGCTCATAAGTAATGGGATACAAGCCCTGATCTGATTCCCAAGTCCACAGTTTTTTTCTTGTAGGCTCCTCTTGAAGTTGAACAATTCCTTTTATTACATGAGCATGCATATCTGCTTTTCTTTATCTGGGTGTACGTATTTTTCCATCACAGACTCTTTCTCTTATTACCTGAGTTTGTTTATTTTTACGGAAGTATATATTTTTTTGAATCATAGACTCTTCATGTTGGAGGAAATCTTAGAAGTTATGTCTTTTTTTTTTTTTTTTTTTTGGTAGTTCACACATGCATATTTCCTTCACTGTAACCAGAACATGGAGTCTCAATGTGGCATTATATGATAAGCACTGAACTACTAACTGCAAGGCCAGTGATTTAGAAACATGTGAATTGAGTGGAGGTTTATAGAACAGACCATCAGCTTTACTTTCAACAAATCATACACTGTGCTTCATCTCCATGATTACAACCCGCTCCATGTACCATCAGCTAGCAGCGTTTACCTCTCTTCACTTAATTCTGGCACTGTGTCTCCCTCTATGTCCCTCTTGGGTATTGCCTGTCTCGCCACCCATGTTAACATATGTCTGCCCTCTCTAGCCTGTGAATAATTTTCTCTCCCCATTATCCCCATACTATCATAAATTGTTTCTTTAATCAAGAAAACCTTCACTTAACTTTTTACAGCATTGTTCTCATGCAATATTTTTCCTTTTGTGATTTACTGATTTCACTGACCCTAATGCCCCAGGTTCATCATTGTTGTGAAATGTTTTGCAGATTCATGGTTATTCATCAACACTGCTTATAATTCCATTGTGTGTGTGTACCAGAGTTAGTTTAACCAGTCTTCTGTTGATGAATATCAATTTTTGATGTGCCTTTTAGGCAGCATATTGAAGGATCTTATGTTCTTATCCATTCTGCTATTCTCTATCTCTTGGGAGCTCTGGTAGCGTAGTGGTTACGAATCGGGCTGCGAACCTTAAGGTCAGCAGTTCGAAACTACCAGCCGCTCCGCGGGAGAAAGATGAGGCTTTC